GTACAGCCTCTTCCTATCCCTGCCAAGTTAACCCACAGCCTCCAGTTCCTGCTGGCTCCCTCCAGTGTGCAGGCCACCCTCTTTTGTTCCAAATTTCTGGTCTCCAACTCCAGGCTTATTATTAACTGGTTGTATGCCTTTGGCTGACCCCTTTGTCTCTGTGAGCTACTGGCCCTCGTCTGATAAAGGTGGACCTAGACTTGGATCATCTCTGAGGTCCCTGCCAATTTGACTTCTTCTTAAGAAAAATGAGACACACACTTAACAGGGGAACTTGCCCCAACATGTCCTCTTCAATACAGGCTGTTTCTACATGTGCATGTTTCATGCTCCATCCTTCTGTTCCTGGAATATGACAAAAACCTTTGTTTCCCTTTAGACCATATAACTTGTAGCATGAAGTGGGTAATAAAAGGAAAGTAGTAGGATCTGACCATATGGCATGCAGTAGGGCTATGGCTGGGGCACCAGGGACTTGGGTGCACAGGAAGGCTTATCCTCTAAGCTGGAACCTGGAATCACCTCCAGACCCAGTGCATCTCCTTGTCTCATCCTCTTAAACAACTCCCACCATGTTCCTGCCTTCCTGCATCCTCTGCCCTTATTGCAGGCTCTGGGCATCATAAGTGGTTTCTAACAGTTCCATCTGAACAGGATTCTTTTGTTTACTTGAAGGTGAAATCCTTATGGGCCCTGCTGTGTGCTCCAGCATTGAGACTCTTGCCTTCCAGGAGCCACATAAGAAGCAAAGCCACCACAGGTCCCTAAAGCATGAGGAAGCCTAGGCCTACCCCCCTCCCCACATCTGAACAACTGCCTATCTGCTAAGGAGCATCTGGGTCCTATTCCTTCAAAGTTGGTACAGATCTGAAGAGGTGATCAGAGGTGTCTCCTACTAGGGCAGGCAGAAAGGCAGAATGACTTCCTGGCAGTGATGGAATACCAGTAGTCAAATACCACCAGGCCCCCCACTAGGCAGAGTGCACCTAAGATTGCATGGTAAACCTTGTGACAATGCTTCTGAACAGCCTCAGTGGCACAGCACCAGCCACAGCACAGTTCTCACCTCAGCAGCTCTCCTCAGAAGATCAACTTAGGGAAAATGATTGCCTCCTACACAAGGGTCGTGTGTTTCCAATGTGGAGCTTGTTGGCAGTTCTGGAAGCACTCTAGTGAGCATCAGGCACTGCTGGGACAGTGTCAGTGAAACTAAGCTGGCACCTTTCACAGATCCACACCTGACTATGTAGCTCCTCTGGGCAAAGCCAGGCTGGACTTTGCACTGCACCATCAGGTCTGACCTCTTTGAGTCCATGTGAGGAAGGAAATTGGTGACCTCCCATTCATAGCCTAGCACAATCTGCTTCCTTTATTGACATGTTCTTCAAATTTTACTGCCCCCACTCCTCCACATTAAGTATGCTGCACCATTTTGCTAATCTAACTTCCCTCAGGGAATATGAGACTGATGTCCACACCAAGCCTATGCAAAGTCTTGCATATGGCAGCCTCTACTTGTTTCTTAGTGTTATGGGCCAGGCCCCAATTTTACTGAAGCCTCCTTTGTGTCTTCAGAGTGCTCCTAGGGTATGAGTAGTTGTGTATAAATGTAAGATAGAGATTTATTTATATTGCTGTAGCCATACGTTGAAGGCCAACATCATTCATGGCAGGCAGGGTGAAACAGTAACGTCTTTAGGGCTTTCCGTGGCTTTTTTTTTTTTAAGCAAAGTTTGTATAAATAGTTTATTTTCTTTTTTTTTTTGTCTTTGTTTCCCATTTCTATACCAGTCCCTAGAACAAGTGTTAGGAATAGAAATTAAAATAAGCCAAACCCAAAAAACCAAAGACTGAATATTTTTGCTGATAAGCAGATGCTGATCCATAAAGTAGGGTGCGGGGAATAAGGAACTTTGGATTGGACAGAGGGGAGGGAGGTAAAGGGAGGGGTGTGGAGGTGTGAAGGATTGTGGAATAAGAAGGACTTTAATACCCTATATACATTTGTGACTAACTATTGGTGTTGACTCTGCACCATGTTCAGCCAGAGGAATTGATCCATTTGTATACAATACTGTCATGTATAAAATTTAGCTAGACTGTGTTAATCAGGAACCTGTCTCAAAGTGTATGTTCCCCTTTGCAGTGCCCAAGAGGGCCAGGCAGTCCATCAACCTCCATCATCAGTTTAAAGAAGATCAAATTTAAAACAAATTGGAAGATTTTCCTTTCAAAGGGGATCTGTTTCACAGTCAGCTGTAGGGATTGTGGGAGC